GCTTAAAAGCTCACCCTGAGAAAGGCTTGGGACTACACTGGGTGTTCAGGATCCCAGTGCAGCCACCAGCTGGCTAACTGAAGACTTTCCATTGGCTTAACCCACGCGTGACCAGTGTTCTTTGGTGACTACCCCAAGACAAACTTGCTACACAGAACTACAGCTGGCACGCAATGTGGCCTGCTCCCTGCTCCTCTCTCCCTCCCTCTTCCCTCCCTCTCCCCTCCCCCCTCCCTCCCTCCCTCTCTCCCCCTCCCTCCCTCCCTCTCTCTCTCTCAGATGTTTGTTGGTTTGTTTCGTCGGTTGATGGTTTTTAAGACAAGGGTCTCACTATGTCTGACCAGCCTCCAACTCAGAGACCCACATGCATCTGCCTCCCAAGTTCTGGGATTAAAGACAGCTGTATACCACCATGCCAGGTCATTTTGGTTTTGAGCCAGGTTTTCATGTAGCCTAGGGTAAAATCGAAACCCTGATCTTTCTGCCTCTGCCTCCCAAGTGCTGAGGGATTACAAGCATGTGTAATCCTGCCTGGCTTCCTGGCCCCCTTCCCTCTCTTTGTTGGTGCCATTTCCCCTGCCTGGAATGGCCAGCCCTTTTTTTTTTTTTTTTTTTGAGACAGCATCTTGTTATATAGACTAGGCTGCCTTCCAACTTGCAGCAACACAGCACAGCAATCCTTCTGTTTCTGGGTCTCAAGTACTGGGATGGCGGATGCACACCACCACACCCCCACACCCCACCGAGCTTGCTCCCTTCTGCGGCTGATCTTTCACGGGCACCTCCAGGTTTCCAGAAAGCTTTCCTGGCTGGCAGAGGCTGAGGACAAGGCTCTGACACTCCCTTTCCAACTTCTTGTCCCACCCTTTCAGTCCCACAGGGTCTCCTCACTGCTGCGGCTCAGAGGTCTAGCAGTTATAGATAAACCTCCTTCGGCGAAGTCCTCGCTGCTTGCTGGGAATGTAGCTCATTGGCAGAGTGCTTGCCCAGCATGCACGGAATCCTGAGTTTGATCCACAGCATTGTATCAAACAGGCAAGGTGGCACATGCCTATAATACCAGGGTATCAGAGCTGGAAGACCACAAGTTCATGTTACCCTTGCTGTTTGAGACAGGGACTTGAAATCTTGCCCAGGCTAGCCTCAATCCCCCATCTCAGTCTCCCAAGTACCAGGAATGCATATGCCACCCAGGGCATAGTTTCCTCTGGAAGCTTTCTTTCTTCTTTTTTTTTCAGAGACAGGGTTTCTCTCTGTAGTTCTTGCTATTCTGGAACTCTGTCTGTAGACCAGGATGGCCCCTGCCTCTGCCTCCGGAGTGCTGGGATTAAATGTATGTGCCATCACTGCCTGGCTAAAGTTATTATTATTATTTGGAGGTGGGTGTTTTGAGACAGGGTTTCTCTGTATTGTTTTGGAGGCTGTCCTGGAACTTGCTCTGTAGACCAGGCTGGCCTCGAATGATCCGCCTGCCTCCACCTCCCGAGTGCTGGGATTAAAGGCGTAGGCCACCCCAGTCTATTTTTTTTTTAAGTTAAGGCCTCACTATGTAAATACAGGCTGTCCTCAAACTCAGAATCCTCCTATCTCCATTTCCTAAATGCTGGGACTACAAGCCTATTCAAGCAAGCGCGCAATCACCTTTTACCATTTTCTGTTGTAAAGATCAAGATAGACACGGTCACCACGGTGGCCTGTAAGTCAAAGTCCTAAACTGTAAAGTCCCATGTCAATAGAGGCAGCGTTTTTCTTCCCTCAGAGCCCTGTCTTCTCTCCTTGTTGAGGTTAGCAGCTGAACATGTAGGAAGCTGGTCTCGAGGCCACCAGTTCCTTCAAGTGAGACCTCACTGCTTCCAGGGGTGCAGGCAGGCACACGCAGGGAAGGCGGCATCTTCTAAGCGAGTTTGGATCCAAATCTCTAACTTTTGGAGTTCCCTTGATGGCCCAAGTCATCAGGGTTTGTAGTCTGGAAAGACAGCAGGTCGACCTTAACTATCTCCTTTCTTCTCAAGTCTGCTACTTAGGATCCCAGTGCAGTCCTGTCCCTGTCTGGAAGCTGACAGAAAGCCTTAAGGAGGGTGTACCCCTGTCCTTCCGAGAACACAGTGGCCAGTAGACCCAGAACGTGATACATCCTGATTTCTCTTAAGCCCCCTAACAGAGGACCAGCAGCTGGTCTTTGCCTCCGGGACAACGCAAAGTCAAACTCCCTCTGGGGACATTCCTCCCCCTGGGTGGTGGCATTTGGGAGAGCGGATGTAGGGGTAGGTGTAAACTCCCAGCATCCGGCCTGGGCCCGGGTATCCTTTTCCCCCACATCTATGCTGGGGACAGGGAAGTGGGTTACGGTGTGAACCCCAGAGGCCGCGGAAAAAGGACTCCACAGGCGAACAGACTTGCTCCGCGTGGAGCTGCAGGGTGCTCGCCACCGGGATCCGGGTGCATGGGCAGAATCCTCGGCCCTGGACCCTAGGGTACTGCCACACCGCACCTCCGTACTCCCCCGAGATCTGCCCCCCCCTTCCCAGAGGGGTGACCGGACCGACTGAATCACTGCCGAGGGCCGCGCTGGGAAAGACTCTGAGACCGGATTCGGGGTTTCCGGAGAGTCCCATGGTCCCCCTCCCAACTCGACCGAGCCGCCTGAGCATTTTTGGTAATGTTTGGGTTGGTGAGTACGGCCGGATGCCCCGCCTTCCCCTCGGCATCCCCTGGGCAGGACCGCGGAGCGCCCAGCTGCTGCAGTGCCTTCCCGCCTCGGCTGCGTGGTGAGAGTGAACCTAGGTGCTGCGAAGCGGCCAGGTAGACTGTTTCACGAGGACAGACCCCTAGGGTCAGAGGCGACAAGAGGGTCAGTCTATGGTCTAAGCATTCACGAGGGCTGGGAGCAAGGATGGAAGGCCATTGACCTCTGTCAACAAACCCCATCCACTACTGCCTTGTTGGTTTTAAGGGTTCCCAGTCTCTAGGGAGTATCCTAATTCGTTCACGCCACCACTCCCCCCCCCAACGCTACCGCAAGGAAGGGGCCAAGAGAAGAGGCCCAAAGCTCCCGGGGGAGCCTTGGAATGTTGGGATCCTGGGAACAGACCCAGCGGTCCATGGGAAAGCCAGGCGGTGGGGATCCCACCATCCAGCCCCCTCCCCAGGATGAGCCGCCGGATGTTGCAGACCCCAGCTCCCCAACAGCGGGGTTTATGCCTGTGGAAGTCCCCACCCTAGCCTTAGTCCGGAGCAACCCTAAGGTTCAGTAGGCCAGCTGTGACGCCGACGCCCCTCCTCCACCCTGTTCCAACATAATCCTCCCCTTTGTGTCACTCAGCCCCCCTCCTCTGGCTCCCCCTTCTCCGACCCCTGCACAATAGAGCCTTTGCCGCCTCCAGGGTGGAGATGAACTCACGGTTTTTCCAAGTTTAAAAATAGCTCCTCCCACCCCCCCCAGAAAGTCACCCTCCCCCTTTCCCATGTCACTGTTAGCGTGCACCCCAAAACAGCCTGCACCTCCTTCCTCCTGTCCTGGGTCAGGTGCTAAGGACATGAGTGAGACTTCGTGTCCGGCCTGAGTAGAGACTGCTTCCCTCCATTCAATTTCTTCCCCCACATCTTCCACCCACCCGCTAGTATCCGGTTTCCTGGCTTGATGATGTCCTCCACAGCAATTGACCCCCACCTCAACCCACCCTGGGTTTCACTCTGTGGTGCCCTCCCAGAGCAGATCCCCCTACTCTGCAAAGTCTCCTGCTACCCCTCCTGGATTCTGTTTTCTGGCCAGGCCAGGGAGGGGGTTCCCCAGCCTCTATAGATGCCAAGATTGCTGCCCACCCCCAATCTCCTCATCGCAGCTGCAAGCAGTCTTTATCCGTTTCCTTCCTCCGCCCAGCCCACCCTTCCCAGCAAGGAGGTGGGGCATCCTTGTCTTATTACCTCCAACTCTACTTACTTTCCCAACTTTTCTTACTTTTTCAACTGCTTAATTTTCTGTATCTCTTCCCCACTTTAACAAGGAATGGAAAGCCCCGACCACAAGGGAGATTGTAACTGACGATGGGGACCGCGACCCCATGCGACCCCATGCAGCCTCGGTGTGTCCTGTTCTATGCTCACACGTCTGTGGCTCTCACTCCTGGTTTACCGGAAGTCCTGAAGATGTGGGGGCTGTTCTCTGGTGTCCCCCATGAGCTGAAGCCCTACATCCACCCCCACTAAGCTCTCTGCACTCCCTCCTGGCTCACAGATCTCTGAGTCCTCTCCAGGGTCCTGACCCGTCGTCTTTGGTTTGGAATTTCAAAATGCCCCCTTCATAAGAACCATTACTAATCTTTGTGTCCCCTGATCTTTCCATACCAGCCTGAGGCTACTGGCGGCAGCTTCTTCTCCTCTTTCTTCTTCTCCTCCTTCTCTTTCATTTAAAGATTTTTTTTAAATCTTTAAAAATATCTTATTGGGCTCATTTTGATAAAACTAGGTACTTGTAAGGCAAGATAGGTGTTGAGTAAATGTCTTGTGGGGTGGAGATGGGGTGTGCTCTCCCAGTGTTGTCCGAATCACTCTTGAACTCAGGCTCTGAGTCTGGGAGTAGCTGACTACAGCTCAGGCATCTGCCAGCCATGAGACGCTGTCTACCTGGCACATAAATGACCTGGTTTCAGGGGTTTGTTCTTTTTGTTTTTCCTAATAAGCTAGCAGCTGCTGGCATCGGGGTCACCTGAGAACCAAAGTTCTCAGGACCTGCCAGACATCGGATAGAGGTCATCCTTTGTGGCCCCAAAACTGACAGCAAGCAGAAAGGGCTTTGTGCCCTGCAGGCAGACAGGATGGAAGTGCAGGCACACCCCAGCTAGGCACTGAGATTCCACCATAGGCTTCCGTCCTTAGGTGAGTGCAGAATCCAGGAGAAGGAACGTCTGGCCCTGTATGGTCTTCAGAGCTCTTCTTTGCAAATTATGACACCAATGGGTGTCTTCAAACCCCTCACAGTAAATGAGACACAGAAACAATGGTGAGAGTCCTGGGCCACTAATCTCTCAGAGCCTACGTTACTACCAAGTCTGGCCTCAGGGGCCAGACTTCTTAAAGTACAGTCTGTTTGTTTGCGTTGGTCACGTACACCCGGGAGGGATGGGAGGGACGGGATGTCACCCTGGGCTCTAATCTTATTTCCCTTTCACTGCAGAAATGACTCCTTCAACCCCCACCTGGCATCAATCGAAGAGGAAGTATTCAGAATCGACTGTCCTTGGTGGTTAGCTGGCTTTGTTTCCAGGCTGCCAGAAAAGAAAATGATAAGTTAATGGTGTTAAATGAAGAAGTAGGGTGTGTGTGTTGGGGGGGGAGAGGGTGCAGCTCTTGGCCTGCCTAGTCAAACGACATCCTTTAACCATTTCTGCAGGGAAATGTGCTTATCTTCCTATTTTGCTCTGGGCCAGGGACCAGTGCCCATCACTTCACTCTGGAGGGTAGAGGAGGCAGGACCCTTATTCTCTCCCCTCAAGGGCCTAAGCCAGCAGCCTGGCAGGCTCAGCACGGCTCTGGCTGGAGACTAATGGACTGGGGGGGGGGGTGACGGGCGACTCTGAAAGATGAGGTTGATGTGGTTTGCCAGTCATCTCTGAGTCATCAGAAAGCAACCCAGAGCATCCTCTCAGGTCACCTGGCCATCTCTGGTGCTTGCTGCCTGACCCTCCTCTCTCAGGCAGCAGTGGAAAGGCTGCCGTGCAGGGGGCAGACCACTACCCTAAATCCAGACCCCTCTGACTCTCCCAGCTGAAGAGTGTGAAACCCTTCCCGAAGCTATGGTCTTGGGGTCTTTTTTGAGTCTTAGTTCTAGAGTCCAGACGACCCAGGGAGATGTTGGGGTTTGGAAAGAGGAGAATAGCGTTCCTGGCCTCTTGCTGTGTGAGAGACTGTGATCAGGATTTGCCGCTGATGCATATGGCTCTGACTCCTCAGCCACTGAGCCAGGACCAGCAGTGTGAGAGAACTGAGGGATGGGTACGGGGGTGGTGGGGCGGGACACACACACACACACACACACACACACACACACACACACACACACACACGATGACAGCTTTCAAACATTAGGGGGAGCAATAGGTTTCTGGGGGTCAAGCCGGGCACTTCCACATCCATTAATACTAACCTTTCCTCATTCGGGAAACTGAGCTGGAGACCAGGAAGGCATGAGGAGCGTTGGAACAGAATTATCTGGGCCTGGGTGTGGACCACGGGCTTGTGAATTCAGACCCCTTCCTTCCTTCTCTAGTGTAAGAGGGACTTGCAGGAACTTGAATATGAAAGAACGACCTAAAAGGCACCGTTTCCAATTCCCCTACCCCTCTGACGGCACCTCTAGGTCTGTGGGACCTGGCACAGTTCTTCCCCAGGATTGCCAGACAGCGGAGACTCTGGGGCAGTGCCAAGCCGGCAGTCGCCGCAGTGAAGCAGTCATTCCAGAAGGCGATCAGGGCCAGCTCCATGCCTCCAAAGCAGGGTAGAGGAACCTTATTGGGAGGCTCCCATTGGGGAAACCGCTCTCCTGTTTCTCTGCTCTAGGGTCCCTGGGGCTACACCCGTTGATAGTAGCCAAATCCCAGTGAGTGCTGCTACTGCGTCCAGAACAGCTCTAAGGCGACCGGGCCAGCTTCTTCTGCTGCCTTGGTCAGTCATTTGAGCCTCAAGACACCTGTCATTGCTCCCTCAACCTTTCTAAGCCAGGAGGCTGGGAAGCAGGAGTTGGCTTCCAGGCCAGGACCGGGGCTCAGCTCCCAGTCCGCGCGCCGGGGCCCGCCCCCTAGGGCGCGGGGAGGGGCCGGGGGGCTGCGCGGGGCGGGGCGGGGCCGGGCGGCGCCCGGGGTCCCCTCCCCCGCCCCCTGACGTCAGTCCGGACAGCCGCGAGCTCCTCACTTAGCTCTCTCCATCCGTCGGGGAAGCATGGGTCTTCCAAGGCTGGTCTGCGCCTTCTTGTTCGCTGCCTGCTGCTGTTGTCGCCGCGCCACGGGTGAGTTTTGTGTGTGTGTATGGGGGGCGGGGGACGAACCGACCCGCGTCCCGCAGGGCCCAGGCGTTGGGAGTGGGGGATGTCTTCGACGGGGCCGGAGTGTGCCGGAAATCAGAGCTGGCAGCAAGGCAGAGGCCAGGGCACTGCACCCAGGCTGGCGCTTCTAGTCAGAGTCCCCGATTCCCAGGCGCTCCGCGTGCGTGCAAGTTCTTTGCAGCAGGTTTGCAGCCTATAGATTATTCTGGTAACGGACCGAGCCACGAGGCTGCCGCGGCAAGCGGGAAGGGGTGGGGCCGAGCCTCTGCAGGACTGTGGGGCCGGCCTCCCGCAGGTGCTTACTCTGGGTGCGGGCGGCTGGAGCCGGGACAGAAGCGCGGCTGGGGCGCATCCCCAACCCGTGCATCCCGCGCCCGCCTGTTGCTGGAAAAAGCTGTTTCCCTTGTTGGAGGGGGGCGCCGATCCCTCCCCCTCCGTCTGGGCTTCACGCCAGTTTGGAGGTGAGCGAGGGAGGAGGGACGGTGGCTTCTGCTCGGGCTGGGCGTTGGCAAGGGCAGTAGCGGGTGGTGTGGGTCGCCTCGCGCCTCCCGGTTTGATTTCCATCACAGCACAGACGACGAATGAAGTTCTACAATAGAAACGACTTAGGTTAGGGAATAGAGTCTGATGGAGAGCGCCTTAGCCTCGGAGCTTTTCCTTGAGCCATCTCCTGGGTTCGGGCTTCCCTTGCACGGCCTGCAGCAGTGTTGTGTGTTATTCTTGGCTTCTTATCCCGTCCCAGCCACTAGTCGGGCTGGGGAAGGGGAGGACTGGGCATTACCCACTTCGCTGGCCTCTTGCCCAGTGCCAGCCTCGTCCCTGGGGTACTGGTCTAGTGCCTCCCAGGCTGACCTTATATCTGGGGAAAGGGCTAAGCCAGCTAGGCAGCCGCAGCACAGCAAACCTAGCCTCACTCTGCCCTGTTCTTCTGGCTCTCAGAAAACAGCCAGAGATCCAAGGTTCCTGCTCTTGGCTGAAGACCACCCCACCTGCCCTCCTGTCTGGAAGCCACACAATCCAGGCTTCCCAGTGCCCAGTCAGATTGTGTCCAGTGACATCACCTTCTCAAAGGGCTGGCAGCATGCTGGCAGCACTGATGTCGCTCCTGCCTGCTCTTTGGTCCTTGACTTCACCCCTGGGGGAGATTCCTACCCCTCTGTACTTGGATAGGGTCTTCTGATTGTGTTGCAATGTTCCTTGACATGCTGCCTTGGGAGTATGAGTTGTAGCCTCTGGCCAGAGTTGCCCCACTGTGTCTTCTGGTGGATCTGGGGGGCAGAGGGTAGGATAGTGACGTCTTCGCAGGGAGGTGGGGACACAAAGGGGCCTGTTGTGCCCCAGCCTGGCACATGCCTTGCATTCTCATAGTCTGAGCTCATCAGGACTAGGAAGGGGCCCAGGAGCAAAGGGGCCTTCCTCTTGGCCCAGAGCCCATGTTCCCCTTATCTGTGTCCCCACAAGTTTCTCTTAAGAGATACAGTCTATGTTCCAGTCCATATCCACTGGGAGAGGTCTGGCCCAGGTTGGGGGGTGGGCATGGTGAAGTAAAGGGTAAAGAGGACAGTGCCCTCCCCAGACCCTTAGAGTAGAACAGCTGCAGTGAACCATGCGAGAAGGGACAGGACAGCCTGGAGCAACTGGGGCTGACAAAGCTGCCTGATGCTCCCCCCCTTCCCCAGGTGTGCCAGGAGAGGGGAAACAGCCTGCACCCACTCCAGATGTGGTGGAGGTGGAAGTGGGCGGAACGGCCCTTCTGAAGTGTGGCCCCTCGCTTCCCTCTGCCAACTTCAGCCATGTGGACTGGTTTTTGGTGAGTGCTTGGGCTTTGGAGGACAGCAGTTGGTGGGGAGCCCTGCCCCTCGGGTAGGTAGCTCATCTCTGTGTTCCTTGCTCTCAGATTCACAAGGAGAGGCAGATACCCATTTTCCATGTGCGCCAGGGCCAGGGTCAGAATGAACCCGGGGAATACGAGCACCGTCTTAGCCTCCATGAGGGCTCAGGGGATACTCTGGCCCTGAGTCAGGTCACTCCCCATGATGAGCGAGTGTTCCTGTGTAAGAGCAAGCGGCCACGGCTCCAGGATCACTACATTGAGCTTCAAGTCTACAGTGAGTGCCCACTCCTTCCTGCCTTCAGGGTTGTGTGGACCATGTAAAGATGGGTTTCCATGTCTCTGTGCATTTCCCTTCTGTTGTAGAAGCTCCAGAAGAGCCAACCATCCAGGCCAATGCCGTGGGCATCCACGTGGACAGGCAAGAGCTTAGGGAGGTGAGATATCATAGGTCAGGTGATGGTGAGCAGGGGCTAAGCTGGGTAGAGAGGGTTGTCAGAAGCAAGGAGACTCCCATCCTATCCTCTTTAGGTTGCTACCTGTGTGGGGAGGAATGGGTACCCCATTCCTCGAGTCATCTGGTACAAGAATGGTCGGCCCCTGCAAGAGGAGGAGAACCGTGAGTAGTCCCTTACTGTGTAGGCCATTTAGCCTGCGTTTTTAGAAATTTTACTGAAACAAACCAAAATAACATGCAGATCATGTTGGATAATTCAGACTGTGGGCTGGAGAGGTAGCTCAGTTAAGAGCACTGGTTGAGCCGGGCGTTGGTGGCGCACGCCTTTAATCCCAGCACTTGGGAGGCAGAGGCAGGCGGATCTCTGTGAGTTCGAGGCCAGCCTGGTCTACAAAGTGAGTTCCAGGACAGCCTCCAAAGCCACAGAGAAACCCTGTCTCGAAAAGCCAAAAAAAAAAAAAAAAGAGCACTGGTTGTTCTTGCAAAGGACTTAGGTCTGTTTCTAGTACTCACAGGGACAGCTCACAACTGTCCACAACTCCAGTTCAGGGGATCCGATGCCTTCTTTTGACCTCCAAGGGCAGCAGACATGCCTGTGGGACATGTGTGCATATTCAGGCAAAATAGTCATACACATAGAAAGTCGTTCCAAAGAAAGTTTTTACTTTTTATTTACTTATATTTTGTGTATGAGTATCTCTAAATGTATACCTGGGGCATCAGATCCTATTGTAGATTGTTGTGAGTGACAATATGGTTGCTGGAACTCTTAACTCAGTCAGTGCTCATAACCCCTGAGCCATCTCTTCAGCCCCCACATTTTTAAAGGAAAAAATTAGGCTATAAAAAAGCTAGGAACGCCTTTCTGGTGGACCCCCCGCCCCAGCAGTGGCCTCTGCTGTCAACTAGTACGTTTCTCTCACCCCCTTCTGTCACAAACACGCTTGTTGCGGAGTGGAAGTCTAGGCGTGGTGTTTTAAGACAGGAACACATGCAATTCAGGCTGGCTTTTAACTGCTCATCCTCTGCCTGTCACCCAAGTGCTGGGATTCCATGCATGTACCACCTCTCCTGGCTCAAGGCTTATGTTTTGTATTGGTTTGGTTTGATTTTTCAAGACAGGGTCCTCTGTGTAATAGTCCTGGCTATCCTGGAACTCAATTTGTAGACCAGGCTGGCCTTGAACTTTACAGAGATCTGCTTGCTTCTGCTTGTATTTTTTACTGTCTCAACCAGGGGTGATTTTGCAAACATACCAGTCTGGGGTATCCTTTGCAGTATTGGGAGGCATTAGGAGTTGTCACAAACACAGAGGCTGCTATTGGCATCTGGTAGGTAGAGGTCAAAAATATAGCTCAGCATCCTACAATATACAAGGTGGCCCCACCACAATGAATTAATTCTGGTCCAAAGCCTCAATAGTACTGAGCTTGAGGAGCCCTGACCTTAGTGACGATTCGGGCACACCTCCTTTTTGTAACGTCTCCAGGTCTGTTCAGACACTCCTGTGTTTGCCTCCTGTTGGCTCACTGAATGTGATGTGGTTATTAGCATTCTCCTGTTGGCACTCAGCGTCTCAATTTTTCATCACTCTGTTCTTCTGTTTTGGACTCTGAGGATTGAACCTAAGGTCTTACACATGTTAAGAACACGCTCTACCGCTAAGCCTTTTGCCTAACTCCATTTTCCTTTGTCTCTGGGGCGATCCTGGCACATACACTTGCATATGTGCTAAGGTGTAAATGTCTTTTTAGGGTAGTTAGCAAGCAATAATGGTTGAAGGGTCACCGATTTGTATTTGACCATGGGCCTATCCCTTAGATTTCTCCCTGCTAATCCCCAGGAGAAGCTGGGGTGGGGGAGTGCTGAGGCCAAGCCTTGTTCCCTCCTGCCCAGGTGTTCACATTCAGTCATCACAGATTGTGGAGTCCAGTGGCTTGTACACCTTGCAGAGTGTTCTGAACGCACAGCTAGTTAAGGAGGACAAAGATGCCCAGTTTTACTGTGAACTCAGCTACCGGCTGCCCAGTGGGAACCGCATGAAGGAATCTAGGGAGGTCACAGTCCCTGTTTTCTGTGAGTGTTGACCTGCTCCCCTGGTTTTGGGGGTGGGCCTGGTGGGAACTTCTGCTAGTCCCTCTGCATGGAACTCAGGGCCAGTTTTTGGGCTGAGAGTCTTCCCCTTTGCCCACACAGACCCTGCAGAAAAAGTGTGGGTGGAGGTAGAGCCCATGGGACTGCTGAAGGAAGGGGATCATGTGAAAATCAGATGTCTGACTGACGGCAACCCTCAGCCACACTTCACCATCAACAAGCAGGTTTGGAGGCCTCCATCCTGGGTGCATGGACGGGGTGCAGAAGGGAACAGGCAATGAGGCAGACAGCAGCTGGAGGGTGGTTAGCTCACCCTTACCCTTTTGTACTCTCCAGAACTCCAGAACTGGGGAGATGGAGGAGGAGACCACCGATGAGAATGGCATCCTATTCTTGGAGCCTGCACAGAAGCAGCATAGTGGGCTCTACCAGTGTCAGAGCTTGGACTTGGAAACTATGACCACACTGTCAAGTGACCCTCAGGAGCTGCTAGTCAACTGTGAGGCATTAGGATAGGGTTCAGCCTAAGGCAAGAGGGAGCCGGCTGTCCTGCCCAGGCTGACACTTTTGCTGTACCTCCAGATGTGTCTGATGTTCAAGTGAACCCAGCCGCCCCTGAAGCACAGGAAGGCGGTAGCCTTACCCTGACCTGTGAGGCAGAGAGCAACCAGGATCTTGAGTTCGAGTGGCTGAGAGACAAGGTACCCAGCTGGGACTGTGGGTGAGAGCTTGCTCCTTCTCAGACCCCTCTGACCCATCTCTCACCCCTAGACAGGCCAGCTGCTGGGAAAGGGACCTGTCCTCCAGCTAAACAACTTGAAACAGGAAGCAGGGGGACGGTATCTCTGCGTGGCATCTGTTCCTAATGTTCCTGGCTTGAACCACACACAGCCGGTCAGCGTGGGCATTTTTGGTGAGGCCGTTTGTACAGTCACCTGAGTTGGGTAGTGTTGAGCTGTTGGGGGTCAAAAAAGTCAGTTGGCACCCAGAGAGCCATGGTGGGAAGTAGGAGGAGGTTTTTGGGGGTCTAACCCTTCCCTCCCTCAAGGGTCACCGTGGATGGCATCCAAGGAGAGGAAGGTGTGGGTGCAAGAGAATGCGCTGCTGAATCTGTCTTGTGAGGCTTCAGGACATCCGCGGCCCACCATCTCCTGGAATGTCAATGGCACGGTGAGAAGGCTTCATTTAGCTTCCCCGTTCTTTTAACCCGGCCTAGGCTTTGAGGCCATGGCCGGAGGTCCTCCCACTTGAGTTGTCCATTTACTTTTAGGCAACTGAATGGAACCCAGATCCACAGACAATAGTGAGCACCCTGAATGTCCTTGTGACCCCAGAGCTGCTGGAGACAGGTGCAGAATGTACAGCCACCAACTCCCTGGGCTCAAATACCACCATCCTGGTCCTAAAGCTGGGTGAGAGCCGTCTCCCTACAGAGGATGGCAGGGCATGCCCAGGCACGGGCATTAACCTGTGCTTCTACTAACCCCCTCCCTCTGCCTCCTAGTCACTTTAACCACCCTCACACCCGACTTCAGCCAAACCACTGGCTTCAGTACCTCCACAGTGAGCCCTCACACCAGAGCCAACAGCACCTCCACAGGTAAGCCAGGCCTGGCAAAGCCAGGGTGCCCATTCTGCCCCGTCGAGAAACGTGACCACCCATCTGTCACCCTGGGCAGGATAGGGTGGGGCAGCAACAGCAGTGCAGCAGCCTGGAGCAGGGAGTGACCAGAAGTGTTTTTGCCTGACAGAGAAAAAGCTGCCACAGCCGGAAAGCAAAGGTGTGGTCATTGTGGCTGTGATCGCGTGCGTCTCGGTCCTTGCTGTACTCGGTGCTACCCTCTATTTCTTCTACAAGAAGGGCAAACTGCCATGTGGACGCTCAGGAAAACAAGAGATGTAAGTCAAACTCATGGTCCTCATTTTCGGCTGCCCAGCTCGCTGCCTCATAAGGGACCTCCCCTGCCTACCCAGTGCCCACTTAGCCCTCGAGAGCAGAAATTGGACCTTTTTTTACTGCCCACTGCCCAACTTCCATCAACCACACGTCCCTGAATTGTCCCTTCCTGAGCTGGCCCCAAAGCACCAGAGTCCATAGAGTATCCATCCCCTTCCCTTGCCCCCCAGTTGCCAACCTCTCACCTCCCTCCTCCCAGCACGATGCCCCCGCCTCGTAAGAGTGACTTTGTAGTTGAAGTTAAGTCAGATAAGCTCCCAGAAGAGATGGCTCTCCTACAGGGCAGCAGCGGTGACAAGAGGGCTCCAGGAGACCAGGTAGGAGGCAGTTCCCAAGGCCAGGGTCTGACCCCCCTTTTCAGGAATTGGGAGCAGGGGGCTAATGGTTCATGTTCCTGAACACTAACTCTTTCTGTCCTTCCTCCTTGGTTGGAGATGGGGAGCGGGCCCATCCCGCCTTCTCATATTTCTGACAATGACAGCAGAGCCACCCCACCTTCTGCTAGAAGTGTAGCCCCTGTCCCCACTGCAGAGACTTAGTTGGGGGACTTCTACCTTTTCTTGTCACCTTCCCCTCATTTCTGCTGCTTGTCTCAAGGCTGCTGCAAATTCATCAGCTCTGCTTCAGCCTCTTTTTGGTGCTCATGCTGTGAACCCTGCTGGCTCTTCATGTTCTGGTTACTTCTCTCTACCCATTTTCAGGGAGAGAAATACATCGATCTGAGGAATTAGCTGAGTCACCAGTGTTCCAGCTCCCTGCTCAGACTTCACCTCAAGCGAAAACCTCCAGATGGACAGCAGGGAAGACCCCCACTCAGGTCCCCGACAGACCAGGCCCAGAGGGCCAAGAGCTAGAACAAGAGCCATTTGGAGGATCTCATTCAGCCATGGAACTGGTTTTAGACACCAAGTCCTCTGTCCCCCACTGAGTGATGCTTATCCCAAGTGACTGGGCCTCAGTCTCCCAGGAGTAGGGAGGGTTTTGATTATTTTTCTCTCCCAAATGGATTTTTTTCCTCACACAGCCAGTGGTTACTAATCCATCTCCTGCTGTCAGCTGAGTGGCTTGCCCCTCCGAGCAGGTGTTCTCCCCTCACAGGCTGTCTTCATGCTGACAGTATCATGTGATACAGGACACTGTTCACACTGGTCCTTGAGACAACCCCCAAAGTCCAGAGGCAGCTGCTTCTGTACCTTCCTGCCTGCTGCTCTTTCTGGATCTTTTGGGATGTTTCTCCTTTGGACAGAAGTCAGGGACTGGTGGTAATCCTTCAGACACATCCCTGAGTAAAGAAGCCATGCTGTTCTGTCTGTCTGTCTTGGAGTGAAGGCTACTAAGCCTGTTCTTCCTGCATTCTCTCAGTGGATAATGGGAGTCTGAAAGGGGAGAGGTGGGACAGAGAGGACGTCTACTGTTCATGGGGATTAAGCTTACAGGTGTGTTAGTACCACATTTCTACATGTGAGCTTATGGGCTTAGAAGAGAGTCCGAGTGGGAGAATGGTACTTAGAGATGAAACCTTGGCCTGGCAAGAGCTTTTGGGGTATGTGTGCATCTGTGAGTGTGTGTGTATACATACATAATACATATATATATATATATATATGGTTTTGTCTGTAAATTTGCAAATTGTTTCCTTTTATATATTATGTGTTAGAAAAATAAAAGTGTTAATTGTCCCAAAAACATGATGTCGCTTTCCATTCATCATGGATGACAGACACGGAGCTTCCAGAATCCCACGTGTCCTCACAGAAAGAACAGGCTCCCAGAGGCTGTTCCTTTACCTCTAGAGCATCCAGAGCGGAGTAGCCTACTAAATACCAACGGGCAGCTATGTTCTCTCCTTACCCCTACCGCCTGTACCACTGCCACCGTCTCGAAGAAGCTACCCTGTGTATTATCCCCCAGCCTCAGATGAGCCAGAACTCAAGTGTGCTACAACAAAAGAAATTTTATTTAAAAATATTTTTTTACAGACATGGGTGCTTGAAAAAGCTCTTTAGTTAACTGTATGGAAATGAAAAAAATTAATAAATAACATTAGTATAACAGACCTCTAATTAGTATAACAGACCTCTACACATAAGTACACTGGCAAAACAACATGGACTTGGGAGATCGAGTCTTAAAGCTCCGCTACTCTGCAGGAGTATTTACCTTTATAGAGTGATTAAATACTGCTAATAGAAATCTTTTTATATTAATGACATTTAAAAAATAGTCCACAAGAATCTCAACTAAGTGTGTTTTGTTTTCTTAACACTGATATACAAATTGGGACTCTATTCTGGGGAAAATATCAAGTTCTCTCTTGCCCCACCCAAGTCAAGAATTTTAAAATCTTGAATGAGGAGGGCTTTAAAAAGAACTGTTTCTATCCCCCACTCTTTGTTAGCTACAGGCAGGGGAGAAACGGGAAAAGGGAGGGTAAGAAAACTTGTGGTTGAAACCTATGACAGTATGAGTGACAGGCTTCTGGGTTCCACTGCCCTTCCCTAGGTGCAAGCAGACCCTCTGGAGGGTACCAGCCACTTAATGCTTTAAGGTTGAAGCCTTCAAATGAAAGGAAAGCCAAGTCTGAGGAGAGGCAGGAGGTTGAAGCTGGCTCAAGATCCAGCAAAATGAAAAGACAACAAATGAACCATCTCTCCTTCCCAGGAGAGTAACCCTCCAGCCCCACTGGGCAGGACACTGTTAGCAGGAGGCTGTGTGAGGGCAGCAGAACACTAACCACTGCCTGGAACCAACTAATGGATGCCAGGATAAAATGCTGCTCTTTTCCAATGAAGCCTCATTGCAGAGAAAGGAGACTACAGGCACCTATGTGCCATCTCCCCAGCCAGATATCCTTGTCTCCAAGACTCTAGGGTTAAAGATATTCAAGGTAGAGGAGCTCAGACTCTGGTATTTCCATATTAAGTCCTAAAATGCAGCCTGGGATACAGCGCTGCCTTAGAAAGGCACAAAACATTTGGCTTTTTTTTTTTCAGTGTGCTAAAAATTGTTTTGTTTTGAATAAAGGAAAAAGATATATAAGGTTAAAAATCCCAAGTCACCACAGCCAGAAAGCAGATGTAGGAGGTCCCTCATAGCTGCCATGCCCAGCATGTCTCAGCAGAGGTCACGTTTCCCACTTAAGAACACTGACAAGGAGGTCAGGAGGCAGGGGCTTCTCTCATGTGCACTGCAGGGAGGGTTCACTAGCCCAGAGAGCAGAGGAGAGGCTGAGAGACAGCTCTGACCATTTCAAGGCAGCCAAAACACGGTCACCCTCTCCACTACGAGGCGAGGTAGTGGGGAAAGAGCAACACAGGCCGGACACTCCGCACTTCCAGGCCTATGTGGGAGTCAGCGTGAGCCTGAGGAGCTGTACACAGCATCCACTGAGCAATCCCCTTCTCTGGCCTCCATTCTGTTTTAGAGGGCAGGAAAATTGGACATAATGTGGAAGTTTGCCTCTCACATTCAGTTGTGGGACTAAATCAGGCCTGCAGGGCCAGGTGATCACAACTCTTGGCTGATTTGATATGTTTAGCTGCCAGATCAGTAGATCTGAGGCTGGCACTCAGCCTGGGCTCTGTACAACACAAGGAGTGGTCAGCCACATTTTTCTCAAGCACTAAAACAGGGAAGAGGCTCTAAGCAGCTGTTGGTCGGCAACTGGCCCTTCCCCATGGTGCTCTTCATCAGGCATAAAACAATGTACAGGGCCCTCCCTGTCCCCATTTCTCCATCTCTTAAGTCTTGTGCTACTTACTAGAACCAAGAAATACTGGCACTTTCCCTTGCAACCAACCCAGATTTTCTGGGACACTGAAGGCACATGGCACTACTATCCCTCTGCTCCTTCATTCAGGAGCCTAGACGAGACATCAAATGCAAAATCTGATGACCTGCTCTTGCCCTTCCTATGTGCCTCAATGTGTATCTTTGGATTAGTAGGTTACTTCTGTGTATACCAAATGACTGAAACACTTATTTATAAGTTAAAAGCAGGGTAGTATGTATGATATGCTTTAAAATGCAGGGCAGGCTCTAAGATGGGATTCCAAAGATCCAGGCAAGCAGAAGCATAGTTTTACTTCCCCCACCCCTAAAAAAAGACAAGAACAAACAACAACAACAAAAAACCCAACCAAAACAAACAGAAAACCACCATGCGTATTACAGGACTAGAGAAGAAGCAACCAGACAGGGTAAACACAGGTAGCTTGTCTAATGAGCTCACAGAACAAGCTCTAGTTAACACTGAAAATACCTGTATCCTGGTAAATATCCCAATGGTGCCCAGTTAAGCAGAACTAAGAACATCACTGTAGGTTCCCTCACAGAAAGGCAAACGAAGAGGATGCGGATGCAGGAGACTGGTCAAGAGCCCACAGAATGAACAGGTATTCAACTAAAACCAAGCCTAAATGTAGTAGCTACAGCTGAAACTGAGGTCTACTCTTTAGGCAACATCCAAGAAGATTCAAGGTTGAATGGAGGCTAAGAAATCTACCCAAGAACAGACTAGAGTGGCCTCATGAGTGGGGAAAGCAATCTTGGGTGCCAAGACTCTAAGAAGAACAAAAGGAAGAAACCAACAAGCAAAGATGATGGTGACTCTGAGTAAGTTAGGGATTTCCAGTAAGGCAGTGATGGCACATGCCTTTAATCCCAGCACTCAGAGGGCAAAGGCAGGAGTAGTGATGGATGGAAATCTGTGAGTTCAAAGCCAGCCTGCTCACCAGAGCAAGTTTTCTTCAACTTCCTAGATGAATAGCAGGACAGCAACTGTGCTTCAAGCATGGAAGTCCCTTTGCATATCTCTTCTTCGAAGCTCACAATCTCTCTGTTCTCCCTGTAAGGCCCAGAGGGGGTGTGAACACTCAAATCAGTATTCTCACTGAGTGTATTCTTTCTTAAGAATATAACCTAGGTTTATATATTGTCTTCTGCTCCTTGACTGCAGGCACAATGTGACCAGCTACCTCATGTTCCTGCCTACGCAACTTGCCCACAATGAAAGATTGCACCTTCAACTATCAGACACAAAGGAAACTGCAGTGGAAGAACCAGAGGCCTATTGGCAGTGAAACTACTCCATCGGTAATTCGCACTTAAAGACAGCGTCTCCCCTCATGCACCAAATGTTGCTGCTTTCCCTGTTTCTGAGAATGAAGAGGAGAAAATACTGTCTATGAACATGTAAGACACTCATGGAGTCCAGTCTGGTCTTCACCTTGCAACGTATCTGAAGCTGGCCTCAAATTCCTAATTCTCCTACTTCCACCTCCCAGGAGCTGATAGGCGAACAGATCTCCTCAGGAGATACAGCCCAACATAGACTTCCTCGTAGGGTGCCTGGTCTGGCCCATGTATCCAACAGACAGGTTCTTTCTAAGAATTACTGAGTTTTTCTGAAGAATCTCATTCATTTTAAGAAGATCATGTGAACTCAAGGACAAGGGTACTTGTTTTGGAGTCATGTATACCAGTCTGCTGTGAAGTAGGAGGAGGGACCAAGTCTAAGGTTCCAAGCCCAGTAATACATCAGAACCAAGCCTCCTATGTATTATATAGCTGTGTGCATTCCTACAGAAGGACTGCCCATGTGTGACTGCGGTCACAGTTGAATCCAGATGCCCTGTGTAGTGCTAGAGTATTTCTGTTGAATTTTGAAGTGCCAGATGATAACTTTGGCTGGAAGGCTCTGGTACCTCTAATAAGCTGCCTGCTTTGGGAAGGTTATTGTGGACAGAATTTAGCCTCAAGTTACCGACTGGCTCCTACAAGACCAGACTGAGAATCAGGTCCTCACCCTTCCCCAACCTCTCTTAAGACAGAATTAGCTACAAAGTTTGTTGAAGAATGAAAAAAGAAACTTCAAATTGTATGGAAGATGGTGACAGGTCCCAGAAGGGTAAAACAAAACCTTTCCAAGGAGAACTGGGGACAAAAGCAGCTTAGTAAAAGGTAAAGAAGGCACTGGACTGGAAAGCAGACTGCAGCAAAAGCTTTGCTTGAACATTTAGTGCTCTACTGTGCAACTCTCAATCAGTGGACCCTCAACCCACTGGAGAGATTATGAAATTTGTAGCAAAAAAGGATAATCCATGAGGTATACACAACAGAATCTCCCAAATATTATCAAAGCTACAGGAAGACAACAGGGGTTAATGGGAAAGTCTTGGGCCAATTTTAAGCAGGACAGTTCTATAAGGAAAGGTTACTCTGTTACTCTATATAAGAGTTGTGAATAAACATATGTATAGTCAAATGCAAAGAGTTAAGGACAGCCCATGCTTAACTTCCCAACACCAGTAAACCACCATGAGGGGGCAGGGAAGAACATATAGCTGACATTTCTGACACATAGTAATCACTCCAATATTTGCAGAGATTAGCAAACCGTTATAGCCAGAACAGTGGTTAGAATACTCTATTCAGTGGAGTGATCATTCCAGAGTCAGAAAGGCCAACAGAAAGAAGAAAAGTCTGAGAAGGCCAGCAGCCTTCTGATTCTCATGATGTGAGGTAGGAGAACATTCAGCATCGACATCATTGCTCATCAGCACAGAAAGACTAAATCCTGTTGTTAATGGTGCCATAAAAGGAATATACAGCTGGTCCCTGGTTTGGTCTGCAAGCAGTTATATTACAAAAATTAACTTGTAAGTTTGCTACTTGGACCATAAAACACATTTATCTCCCACAGAGGAAATATTTTAAATATGAAGAAGTGACTCCTACCCATCCCAGACCCCTTCCCCAGTTTAAAAAAAAAAAAAACAAAAAACCAACAGAACAGCTGAAGGATGCTAGTACTACTATCACACACTGTGGTCCAGTGATAGGCATGTCTGACACTTGAAAGAGAAAGACAAAATGGCAAAGTATGCAGCGAGGGGCTGGGAGGAGGAAGAGGGGAGTAAGTGAAGGAAAATGGCCAGTCAGGGTCAATTCACTGTTTAAATAAATACTGATATACAAAAGCTGAGATCATGAGCTGCCCAGTCTGTTAACTAGGAGGTATAGTTCCGAATCCACAGGTTTTTAAAAAACATTTTAAGAGCGTTTCACTTTAGAAGGACAGTGGGAGGGCAGCTAGCAAAGTCTACCCTCAACTGGACTAGGAAAATCTTGCCTTGGGTCTTGGCAAGAATGATCCATCAATAAGGTGGCCACATGTAAAGCAAGCCACAAAGACACAGGAAGAGCAATGGCTTCTCTTAAGTAAAACAGCCTCATGAACTTGAGGAAAAGGAAAATGTTAAAGCTGTTTTCTTAATTCTAACACAGAGCAGGGGAAACGAATGGGCTTGCCAAAATTAGCAAAACTCAAAATAAAGCTTCTTTATGAAAGGGCAATTTTAGGTAAACTCAGAGGAAGAGCCAAGGAATAAAACTTACCATACAAATGGAAAAGGAAGAATGGGTTATTGGTGCCTTCAAAGGAAAAAGAAATTCAAATTTGGAGACTATCTTCAAAATGAGTGGCATGAAACCTCCTAAGGCTACCTAAGAATATCAGGCACGGGTCCCATCACACAACAGTCTCAAACCTTGATGCCTGCAGATATACATCTGATAAACCAGCACCCAAGCTAATCAAAGACCTGCCTGTCTAGCATAGGGACTGAATACCCACTCACACCCACCCATTTCAGAGCTCACATGGGTGCTCAGCAGAAGGCAGGACAAAACTGTCATTTCCCTAAATAGTAGGGGCAGTAATCACCACAGATTTGGTTTTTGTTTTCTTTTGGAGGCAGGGTCTCATGTAGCCCAGGCTAGCTTCAAACTTGCTATGTAGGCAAGAGTGGCTGTGAGCTTCTAATACTCTGTCTTCTCTACCTCCTGAGTGCTAGTTTAGAGGTATGCCTCAGCACAATTTGTTCTACAGAGTGTGGGATTGGACCATGGCTTTGTGAATGCTAGACAAGCACTCTACCAACTGAGCTATATCCTTAGCCCTCTCAGAAGACTTGGATACAAAGAAAAGGCAAAATATAATATATGTAGCCAATGATTTGTTTTCTTGCTAGATCTTCAGATAGTGGGTAATATCTGCAGGGAAAGAAACACTCCAATATACACAGACTAAGCCTGTAGCCTTTTCCTAGTTCTCTGTTGAGGTCTTCAATTTTTTGTTCTGTTTATCTTATATTTTTTTCTTACATTTATCTAATTTTATGTATATGAGTGTTCTGTCTGCACATATGAATGTATACCATGTGTGTGTGCCTGGCTCCCACAGGTCAGAAGAGGGCATCAGATCCCTCTAGATCTGGAGTTACAGATGGTTGTGAGCTGCCATGTGGGTACTAGGAAGCAAACCTGGGTCCTCTGCAAGGACAATGGCTCTTAACCCAAGAGCCATCTCTTCAACCCGTTGCTTGTTTTGAGACAGGTGTTGAGTAGCATTGAGTGAGCACTGACCCCCTCATCTTCTTGCCACCATCCCCCAAGTGCTGAGATTACAGGCACATGTCACCAAGACTGGCTTAGGCTTTCAATATTCAAAGGAACACAAAACTGGATGTCACAAGCTTTTTGAGGTGGATAAACTATTGTTTCCTACTCACTGCTATGTTAGAGGAGACACTGAGTAGCCATGGCAAGTCAATATAAAATACTGTAACGTCTGCCCTGGGAACAGAAACAGTTCTGAGACAAGAGGATAAAACCCAAAGACCTTGAAGCATCCAGAAACCAAAAGAGAGTTAAAAAGGTCTTAGTTGCAAAGATGTTAACACTGGAAAGAAAGTGTAATCTTAGTGGGTCATTTCTGTCTGAACCTAAAGAACAGAGTGGATTCATTTGGAAAACAGTTTGCATGTGACAAGAGAAAGGGCAATATTGCCAGGGGAGTCAGCAAGTCTCCAGTCAGTCAGAGAGCTAACTGAATCCAAGGGGTCATAACAGAGACTGAGAAGCAGGTCTCCAAACTGACTCCAAATCTTGATTAACTTGTAAATACAAACTACTATACTGTCCCAAATTGTCTCTGACTAAAAGATTTCAATGAATGATGGAATACTGTGGATAATGTAGCAATTATATCCAGGGCCTAAACAAAGGGCAAGGAAGGTAAGAGAAACCATCTCCAAAGCCCTAGGCACATGAGCAACCAAGTCACTGGGTGGCACCAACGTAGGGACACACTAGTCATCAGCAAATGCTGTAAGGTAACCAGGGTTATCCCTACTGACTAGAGGGCAAAGAAAGTAATCATTTTTCAAAGGTTAACCTTTCTCCTATTCAAGGGATAAATCCCTAAGCTGAAATTAACCACTGGCAAGAAAGACTGAATAGATAAGTCCTTACTGGTTTATTTTGTAAATCTAAATAGTATGTGACAGAAGCTTCCTAAAAACTCTATGGTATTTGGGCTGGAAAGCCACCCTGGAAACAAATGTTCTTCTTTCTGTTCCTATTAGGTAGAAAGACTCATGATCTATATCAGAAACACATACCTGGCACCAAGGCAACAGACTCCCACAGACTATTTCCTGGGGAAGACACGGAATGTATATGAAGGCCTCTATCTCAAACCAGTCATTAGGTAATTAGGAGAATTCAAACATCTTATTTTAACAAATTCAATGTTCCTATAGAAACAGCACTTCGGAGTGACCAGTGTTAGGTGCTAGCATCAATCATAACTGTAACCACAGAACAGTACTTTCCTTACCATCTTTTCTACCAAATAAACCAACACAATCAGACATTAGAAAGAACATCTTGAAAGCTGCCTGGCTTCAGGTCACTTCAAGCCTACAGACGCCAATGAGGAGGCGGTAAAGTTAGGAGTCTCCAGGGGAAAGGGAAGAGGGTATTCAGACACTGTAAAACTTAGCTAAGCACATGATAATCTAAGCCAAAGGGGAGTGTTGAGGTTATAACATCCAGCAGGGTTAGGTGCAATACCACAGTAGATGGGAGTCTTCAGAGATTCCTTCCTGAAGCTCTTGTGCTAACTCCCTGCATGGATTCACACACAGCAGGATAATCTTATAATCATAGGAAGGAAGGAAGGACGGACGGACGGACAGACAGACACCCTCCCTCAACAGGAAAGTCTAAAGTCCTTAACTAGGACTACAGCACAGCACTTCTACTGCTTTCTGTACTGCTCCAGGGGTTGGTTACCATGTAATAAAAATCCACTCTCTCCTAATGGGGACTGAAGGACTACAAACACACTCGTAAGACCAACACAACAGTGAACACACTAGCTGCTCCATAGTCATTCCACTGCTTTGAAATCTTGGAACCGTGGGTGTCGACCGATACCCACAGAAAAGGTGGGACCTCACTGTGATGTCCCAAAAGAAGCCACTGCTTTCCTAGGTGCTCCTTGAGTGGAAGCCTGGCTCATGGGTCCTCTGAAGTCACGGCAGGAAGAGATGTGCTAGGTAGCTACGTGGGCAGGAGAAGAAATAGAAACAAATTCCCGGAGGATGTTTTTGGCCATTTCAATGTTGTTGTGGGCAATGACCAAAGCTTTCTGAATGTCCTGGTAGGAGTAGCCCTGACTCATGAGACGCTCAATCTCACTCGAGAGCTGTGGTGAGGGGGCCGTGGAAGCAGGGTTAGCAGTGGCACCTCCACCTTGCTGACAGCTACTTGCTTTTCGTTCAGAGTTGATTCTCCGAGGGAATGGTTTAGGGGGCCGCTCAGGAACTTGGGAACTCTCATTGAAGCCTAAAAGAGAAAGGAAATATTTGTAAATCTTAAGAAGCTCAAATTTAGGCAATAACAATAACAACGTGCTAATAATGTGGTCTTCTGTCACAGGCTAGAGAGTTCTGTTTTTTTGTTTGTTTTAAAACAGTAGCTCAGTTGGGCAATGGTGGCACACGCCTTTAATCCCAGCACTTGGGAGGCAGAGGCAGGTGGATCTCTGTGAGTTTGAGACCAGCCTGGTCTATAAGAGCTAGTTCCAGGACAGCCTCCAAAGCCACAGAGAAACCCTGTCTCAAAAAACAAAAACAAAAACAAAAACAAACAAACAAACAAAAAAAGTAGCTGTCTCTATAGTCCAGACTGGACTCAAACTCACAGCTGTGCTCCCACTTCAGTCTCTTGATTGCTGAGATTACAGCTGTGAGCTACCACATCTGGCACAAATCTGGGTTTATCTATCTGTAGTGCTAGGCCAGAACCCAGGACTATAGACATGGTAGGTAAAGTGTTCTGCTGATGAACTAGATCATCAGCCTAAAAGCTAGGTTTTAGATCTAGACTCTTATCACAGAGTGAAGAACCTTCTGAATATGTCACACACCCAGTCTGGTAACAGTAATTGTGGCTTTGAGAAGCATATAACATCTACACTGTGTGTTATACTTAGCAACAAGTTTACACACTATCTAAACTATTTATTCTACAAAGAAGGTGACAACACAGCCTAAACTGCAAAGAAGAAGCAGTAAGCCAGATTGGGTGGGGGATTCTACCTAGATGCTAGATCTTTTCCATCAGCTGTTCTGAAAGTTGTCTTCAGTTTCCAAAGTGAGAGCTATTCTGGCTGTGTCCCTACCAGGTGGCCACAGGTGCAAAGACCAGTCCTGGATACCAGAGATCAATGAGTGTGTGGGGGGGGAGCAGGCAGGCATAAAATGTGTATTTGAGGGCAGCACACGCTTCCCAGTGGGACAAGGCTTAGGAAAACAAAGAAACAAAACAAACAGAAAGAAACATCACTTCCATCAAGCCTAATTCCCAGCATTAAACAAACACTCAGAATAGCTAGAAGCTCTGCCCTCCTCTACACGAGGAGCTGTGGTTTAAGTACCAGCTGCAAAGTTTCACTTCCTAATGTGGGACCTAGGACCAGCTTTCTAACATTTATATACAGTGTACAGTCTGCTATGTCTACTCTCTGACTTACTGCCACCAGAAGGTCATGACTTTTAGTTATAAGTCAGAGATCAGACAGCAATACAGGACAAGCAAGGCAGCCTACAGACTCACTTGTTGTAGGATCACCATCCAGAGATAACCAGCCAAAGGAGGAGCTGGCATTGGAGATGTCGGACAGAGTCCGGCGAGCCAGTACAGCCGGCACAGGTGGCTTAGGCACATCGTAGCCATCATCCTCATTTTCTGATTCTTCAGGGCCAATGCTGGTGTGGGCTGTAGCCAAATTCCCTTCCCCTGGAAGAAAGTCGGTAAAAGTAATTGTCCTCTCCTGACATACTTCATTTGCTAACATACTTCAATCCAGAGGCGTCCACGCATTCATCTATGGGTACAACCATTTATTTCATTCAACAGTTACTCACATGTCTACTGTGGGCCAAACACCATTTGAAGAGATGGGGATAAAACAGAACCTGCACCAGCTTTCTTGTTGAACACATCAACAGTCACTCTTGCTAAGGTTAACAGCTACAGATGGCCTCAGACTCAAGTGCTATTTTAGAGCCTCCTAGCCTCCAATCTGCATTTCACTGAGAAGATCAGCCAAAGGGCTGTGTGTGCAGACATCTTGAACTTTCACCTTGATGAACTGTTTAACATGAGACTTGAGTATTTACCACCCCCACACAAAAGAATTTCATCAATGTAATGGGAATAAAAGAGAGCTGCTAGTACTGAGATCCAGGCCATATAGCAAAGATGTCTCCAGGCCCGGAAGGAGGAAAAACAGGAACTAGGGTTTAAAAAGGAAAAGTGGGGCCCATTTTGTACATTAATCAAAGAATTTTTGCAAGGAGCACCAGGAATCATTTTCTCTTTAAGTGACTATCTAAACCAAATGTTACAGAGCATCCCCAGGGCTTTCTTTTCTTCTTACTCTTTGAGACAGTCTCAGCTATGGAGGTTATGCTGGACCCATCAGACTCCCAAACATTACAATTACAGACAGATGTTACCACACAAGATGTATCAGTTTTTAAGTAGAAGACAGGATACTCACCTAAGGTACTGTTTTCCGTTACAGATAGTGCTTGGGACTGAATGTTATACATTGCTTCATATGTGCAGCTGTCAATCTGCTGGTCACAGTCACATGCTCTGAACCACAAAGAAGTACAACGGTTTCACAAACAAAATTCTGTTATTTGCAAACTTAAAAAGACTAAGCTGTTTCTAACTGTCCTAGACCCTAATTCTTTCAAAACAACCCCTACTCTTTGTACCAGCCCCATTAATAAACACTGTGAGGCTGACTTATGACAAGCTAAAGGTGCACATGTTCTGGAGTCACTGTGCCACTGTGGAACCAATGCAGCTGCTTATCGACATTAGAGATGTAAGCCTTCGAATCTACATTTCTCTTTCTGCTTTACTTCTGACTCAGTTAAGTGAATTATCTGAGCAAACATACTTGGCTCCAGCTGAGGTTGTTGTGAGCATACCGTGAACTCTGGGTTGCCTCTAAAGGTCGTTTGGGCTCTGGCTTCTGAACCCCTACAGGCCTAGATGTGGGAGTCATATATTCTGTGTCCTCTTCACTTTCCCCCTGTTCCCCAGGTGGCAGTTTTGGCACAGGAAGAGGCCTGGAAGAATTAAAAAAAAAAAATTGGAAAGCTTTCAAGTATGAAATAGATTTAGAACTGATACAATTCAATTTGATAAAACAAAATAAACAGTACCTAGGGTACTATCATTTCCACTGACCATGGCAAATATACTTAAGAAAATATGCACCAACTACAAATTTTACGTTCAGCTGATCCAAATGATAAACTGGGATGGGTAGTTAGTTCCAGTTATCCTCAACTCACAAGTAAGTGTTGTTACAGTGCTCTTGTTAGCATTCTTTTTCTTTTACAAGGCATAAAATAAGAAACAACAGGTGGCTTTCTAACAGAATGCCAGAAATGTATAGGAGATATCAATACAAAAACCTATATATGGTAGTAAGATTATATACCTTGTCAAAAGTATTACTCTAAAGTATGATCACTTTTTCTCTTCAATAGTTCCTACCAGAAAAATCTAAAATAAAGAGATAAAAAGTAACCTGGTCGTTTAGCATCCCAGATTAGGTCCTAGACTTCTGACTCTTGATCGTTTCTTTTTCATTTTTTCTTTTTGACAGTGCAGGGATCAAACATAGGACCTTGCACATGCTAGGTTGACTATGTCACTACTTCAGAGATCTTGCTACTGCAGCATATACTATGTAATTCTCCCTCAGCTTTCTGCAATAAAACTTCTCGGGGCTGGAGAGATGGCTCAGTAGTTAAGAGCACTGGCTGTTCTTCCAGAGGACCAGGATCCTATTCCCAGTACCCACCCAGCAGTTCAAACCTATCTGTAACTACAATTTCAGGGTACCTGATTCTCTCTTTTGCATACCTCCATGGGCACTGCTTGTACATAGGGCACAGGCATATATATTCAGGCACTCACATAAAAAAAAACTTAAAAAGAAACAAAAATGTCTGCTGTCCCACCTTATGGAAGGAGATGAAGACAAAACACCAGCTTCAAAAGATACATGACCTCGCCTCATGCTTCTTGGAATAATTCTGAGTACCTTTCTTTCCCTTTTCATTTTCTTTGCATATTCTTAATCACCAACAAGAAACATTTGCATTTATTTGCCTCTCTGTATTTACACGTTTTCCTAATTATTAAAGGAGTACACATTTTTCCTTGTTTATTGTTTTGCTTTTTGTTTGTTATTCAGACAAGGTCTCTCTGTAACCCTGGCTGTGCTGGAACTTACTCTGTAGACCAGACTGTCCTCAAACTCAGAGATCTGCCTGCCTCTGCCTCTAGAATGTTGGGATTAAAGGCGTGTGTCACCACACCTGGCAACAGCACACATTTAAAAACCATGTCACAGAAATAAAACCGAATTGATTCTTTAAAAAGGTTAATAAAAATGACAAGACTCAGTAAGATTGATCTACACACATGTACAAAGAAAAAAGGATGAAAGTATTTCAAAACACAAAAATCACAGGACTCAAAGGGCCAGCCTAGGAGACTTGTGAGGTGACTTTTTATCTAAGGTCATTTTTATTACTTTTAGTTATAATGAAACATGAGACACATACGAGTGTCTACAAATGGGTATGTGTACATGAATACAGGTGCCCAAGGAGGCAAGCATTGGATCCCCTGGAGCCCAAGTTACAGATGGTTGTGAGCCTCCATGTGGGTGCTGGGAATTTAACTCATCAAGTCCTCTGGAAGAGCAGCAAGTACCTGAGCCACTGTCCAGCCACTTGTTTGTTTTGAGAAGGATTTTTGCTAGCTCTGTAAACTTGTAGCAATTTTACTACCTTAGCATCTCAAGTGCAGGATACAGGCATGTACCAACCATACCCAGTTTAGGGTTGTGGGTTTGAGGCCATCATTGTCTAATTAGGGAGACCTTGTCTCATGAAAAAGAAATATCCACCGCACGGAATGAAATATAGCTTTAATATGCTTACCTGGCAGCCAGAGAGTAAATGGCATTGGCAGATGAGGAAGGCTTGATTTTTGGGTGTTCACCCTCTGGACCTGCTATTGGGTTGCTATTCATATTCTGCAAAGTAAAAAAAGGTCTGAAAAGAACCTCTCTTTCCCAACCACAGTTAAGTATCTCCTCTTACTGAACCTACTGGAAAAAAAAAAATCACAAGAACATTAACACAGACACAGACCTCACAACATCTGACCAAAAAAATCGCTAATGGATTCTGATTCTGAAGGAATTTCAAGTGGGAGAGCCAGAGAGAAGCTAGGAAATACTTTCTTCATTCTAATTCTTTTTATTTTGGTTATTCATTCTAATTCTAAAAACAAAATTAGTTGCCTACAGAAATATCATTTCTACCATAAGAAAGTCTCCATCTAAACTCAAAATGGTTAGTCTCTATTGATGCTACTCCACAGTGCCACTCCAAATGTTATCTTTTCTGTGAAACCAAGAAATAGTCATCTGAGTGTCATTACAGTATTTAACTGTATTCTTCCCATTCTATCTCTCCTTAGATTTCCAACCTTCTTTTCAATTCACCCATCAAAGTTCAAAATCTGATGTCTGTTAGCCAGGGTCAAACCATCAGTTTATGAGAGAGTTCATGTCTTATGTCTGTTCACCCAATGACAGCTTTGTGAATTCCTTTCATGAACTCTAAAGGGTCCACCTAACCTACCTATTCTGTTTTGGCAAAACACTCGCAGTTGGTCACTGGCATCAGCTCCACATCCTCTCTCCCTCCCTCCCTCCCCCCCCCTTCTCTCTCTCTCTGCAAGTTCAAGGATAGCCAGGGCTGTTACACAATGAAACTCTGTCTCAAAAAAGATCACCCCCCCACAAAAAGAAAAAAAAATACTTATTTGTGTATGTGTAGAAGTTATAAGATAACTTTCAGGATTCTCTTCTCCCCTTTTATTATATGGGTCTCAGGGATCACACTTGGATCATCAGGCTTACCAACAAGTGTCTTTACCTATTAAGCCATAGTATCAGTTCTTGGATCTTTCTCTCCTTTTTTGAGACAGAGTCTAACAGTGTAATCCTAACTGGTCTAGAACTTGTTACGTAGACCAGGCTGGTCTTGAATGCAAGAGATCTAACACTGGATTCATGGGTGTGCATCTGGCTCCTTGGGTATTTTGTAAGCAGACTCCTTACCAAATTCACTTCTTTCTACTTCACTGTAGAGATCAACTCAAATGAGAAGTGTCTTTAGGTTGAACCATTTTACCAGCCCTTAGTTTATACACTTCTCAAAGCTAGGAATTATGCTATCTCTGAATTCTATACAAAACCAATCAAATAACTTTGACCCAAAATCAGGCACAGTTGTGCATATTTGTAATCTCAGCTACTTAGGAAGCTGAGGCAAAAAGAGCAAGAATTTGAGGCCAGCCTGGGATACAAACCAAAACTCTTGTCAACAAAACAAAATGTTCCACACCACAGACAGTCTCTCTATACAGCCCTGGCTTTCCTGGAATTCGCTCTGTAGACCAGGCTGGCGTTGAACTCAGAGGTCCGAAAGCCTCTGCCTCCCAAGTGCTGGGATGAAAGGTATTTACCACCATACCTAGTCCAAAAAAAAACCAAAACACTTTGACCATAAAATGCCACAGATACTAGTAGGCTAAATGGTCTAAATTTAGGACTCACCATGGAAGTATCCAGACTAAATGTGCTTCCAAGCCTAGGAACATCTACTCTGGGCTCCATTTGTGAGGGCAATGAAAAGGGAAGTGAGTGCCGATTGGTCAGTTCTCTTCCATTCCAAGGATCATTAGGGCTTGGGGTAGCTACTGGTACTTTAGGGATTGGCCGAGGCAACCATGAGTCCCCTGGGCGGCTAGAGGGGACAGGGGGCAGTTTATCTCTAGATGGACAATCGCCTGGTGTACAAGGCAGGGGGCGTCTCTGAGGTCGTGTTTCTGTTCCAACAGAGTAAGGCCGGTCTGGAGGAGGTGGTGGTGGGAGATCTCGAAGTGTTGGAGGTATTGGCAATGGTTTGTCTTTATGAAGAGAGCCAGAAGCAGCCTATGGAAATAAGATGGAAACAAATCAATCAAAACCACTTTTATAGAAGAAAGGCCCAGCAAGACGCAGAAATGGATAATGCTTTGCCTTGGAAGTAGTCCCCAGAACTGAAGAGCTAGCAGGAACAGATGCTCGCTGTTGCAGAAGATCAAGTCTTGGTGGCACTGGAGGAAGGGAAGCTTGTGGAGCCATGGAGAATGGAGAGGAAGGCCTTTCCACCTAGAACCAATGAGATGTTAACAGGTTACTCTTGTTTAGGAAATAGCATCTTTCAATCCTAAAGCCACAGACAAAAGATACTAGGTGATCACAGGTGCTGGGTTATACAAACCTCTAAAATCACAGATATTTTTGGAATCCTGGACTATGTTTATATCACCATAAGAGGACACTCTGAATCAGATAGCAAGCTACAAAAAAGAACCTACCTTACAATTTTTAAAATTCTATAATACTTTTATCTCTTATCTTTGGAGAAAAAAAAGAGTATTGTCAAGATTAACACTAGGTAAATGAGCTTGCTGTGGAAGCCTGGCAACCTGAGTTTGATCCTTGGAATGCATATAAGGTAGAAAGAGAGAGCTGATTCTACAAAGTTGTCTTCTAGGGACTAGAGAGATGGCTTAGCAGTTGAGAGCACTAGCTGCTCTTCCAGAGGTCCTGAGTTCAATTCCCAGCAACCACAAGTTGGCTTGCAACCATCTCTAGTGGGATCTGATGCCTTCTTCTGACATAAAAGCATGCGTGCAAATAAAAAATCTCAAAAAAAAAAAAAAAAAAGATGTCTTCTGACCTCCATAGAAAGGCCAAGGCAATCAGCGCCCACCACACACACAGATAATCATGCATAAACACACACACACACAATAAACTTAAGATAAAAGATTTAGATTATCTGGAAAAAAAGGGGATAGTAAGTAAAATTTCTAAAAAACAACAAAAATATGCAAGAAACACTGAAGAGAAGAAGACAGACTGAAGCCTCAAAAACCAGGTTCTACTTCAGTGGAAAACCCAGCTTAACATAGGACTAAAAATGCTGTTATTCACCAAGTTAACTCTCACTCCATCATTATCTAGTCCAGCACTTGCTGATTTCCCCTAAAGACCTTTAAATCTATAGCTTCCCTTTTACTTTTAATAATAGCTAGCGTCTTAAGGGGCAGGGCACTGTGGCACCCTTCCCTTTTATAAGAAGCCAAACATGAAGACTGTGGATAAAGGGTTAGAAAAGTGAGGACACCATGATTAGATGACAAGAGTGAGGATACCATGGTATACAGCAACAAGAATGAGGAACTGTTGCACATGGCAAAGAGTGAGGACACTATGACAGAGGTAAAAAGTGAGGACACGAAAGAGCAAAGCCACTAGAATATACAAGTCCTTGAAGCTTTTGTGACTCAGCACTGAGATCAATTATCTTTTTAAGTTTCATTTTTATTTGTGTGCCTGTGTGAGTGAGTAACAACTGTGTGCCACAGAGGATGGACTATGACACCAGACCCCTATGAACTGGAGTTACAGTGTAAGTGGTTGCAAGTCCCTTGACGTGGACACTGGGCACTGAACTCCAGTCCTTGGAAAAGCACCAAGGATCCTTAACCACTGAGCTACATCTCCCCTCCCTGAGCTGAATGTTTATAATTAGAATCCTAGAACTAGCCACTGTTCTTAGTTAGGGTTACTATTGCTATAATTAAACACCATGACCAACTAAATTTGGGGAGGAGAGGGTTTATTTAATTTACACTTCCGTATCACTGCTCACCATCAAAGAAGTCAGGACAGGAACTCAGACAGGGCAGGATCTTGGAGGCAGGAGCTGATGCAGAGGCCATGGAGGGTGCTGCTTACTGGCTTACTTCCCATGGCTTGCTCAGCCTGCTTTCTTCTAGAACCCAGGACCATCAGCCCAGATGGCCCTACCCACAATGTACTGTGCCCTCCCCCATAAATCACAAATCAAGAGAATGCCTTACAGGATGGTCCACAGCCTCATCTTATGGATGCATTTTCTCAATCCAGGTTTCCTCCTCTCAGATGACTACAGTTTGTGTCAAGTGACATAAATTTAGCTAGCACACCACACCTATCAAGTGCTGAATAAAAATGTTATGATATCATAGGTCCCAAAGGCCTTTACCTTTTCACAGATATTTTTAACATTTATTTTTACTATTTTTAATTATGTATATGTGTGTAGTCATTTCTATGTATGTGGTTGCATGTGACTACAAGGTCACAAGTGGGATCCTCCAGGAACTGGACTTACAGGTGGTTTTGAGGTACCTAATGTGGATACAGGGAATCTAACTTGGGCCCTCTTGAAGAATAGCGTATGCTCTTAACCATTGAGCCATCTATCCAGGATCCCAGAAAGGTATTTTAAGGGCAGACTTCCCTCAAAACAGGAAAAAAGAAAACATGGGATGCAAGAAATAAGCCTTTGACCAGAGGAGAGGCAATCATGTCCCATGGGAGGAAAGGGAAAGCCTCAGGGTGACAGGAACTTAGTACATTTAGAGAATAAGCAGGCCAGATGGAGGGAGCACAATTGACTCCAAGTGTCACGGCATAGTGTTATACATTATCTACTGCACTGTACAGCTTGCTTTTAGCATTTCTTTCTTTCTTTCTTTTTTTGTTTTTTGAGACATGGTTTCTCTGTGTAGTCTTGGATGTCCTAGAACTCGACCTGTAGACCAGGCTGGCCTGGAACTCACAGAGATCTGCCTGCCTGTGCCTCCCAAGTGCTGGGATTAAAGGTGTGTGCCACCACTGCCTGGCTTAGCATTTATTTCTTAATGCAGCTTCCTAGGAAGATGCTTGAAAACATGATTTACTTGATAGTGACAGATGCAAGCTGAAAACTAGAGAAATAATTATTACAGAAAAATCAGGAAGTTAGATTTAAAAAATATCCCTATACAACACACACACACACATCTCAGATCAATGATGTGGGTCAGTGGTAGCATTCAACTGTCTAGAGCTCAAGTTCAAGGTATAGGTCAGAAAAAGAAACAAAACATACAACAAGCTAGATGGTGGTTGGCGTACTCCTTTAATCCCAGCACTCCAAGAGACAGAGACAGGCGGATCTTGCTGAGTTGGAGGCCAGTCTGGTCTACAAGCAAGTTCTAGGACAGCCTCCAAAGCTACACAGAGAAGTCCTGCCTCAAAAAACAAAACAAACAAAAACTACAACAACAAATGACAGCCACATGGGTGTGAAGAACCAAGAAATCTCCTGTTTCCATATATTTTTATGATAAGATGGGCGGGGGGACTTTAATGTCTTTTAAAAGTTAAAATATAATAAACTGCAAGTTATAAGGAATAAAATAAGAAAACAATACTCACCTGCCATGCAGTGAAGAAATGAAATACTACTGTTTTTATAGAATTCTCATTCATCCCCTTCCCTTAATCCTCAGTTCTAACAAATGTTGTTTTGTTTGTTTGTTTTTAAAGAAAGTCTCCCGGTGTAGCCCTGATTTCCCTGATGATGAACTACAAGCTATAAACCCTTTCCTCCCAAGTTGCTTTTGGTCAGTGTTTTATCACGATAACAGAAATGCTGACCAAGACATCTGTCTAACACCAGCTATATCTCAAATTCCAGTCTTACCTTGGCACCTGCCAACTCCTTCATCATGAAGAGAGAATCATCAGCTCGTTCATCATCATCATCATCATAATTTGGGGAAGGAGCTCCTTCTGTTCCTTGTCTTAAGAGACTGCCACTGCCTCTGGGGTCGAATGGATCCACCACGATGGGCTCAGTACCTTTGATTTCACATCGGCAAAAAAGGACAGCCCTGACCTTCTGATTCCTGCAGAAGAAGCAGGTGAGAGTCATAGATATTCTCAAAAAACTTAAGTCACCTATTAGCAAATACATTTCCTAGAGATAAAAGTAGGAAATAACTCAGAGGCAGTGTGTTTAGCAGGCCCTGGAATCATTCTTCAGTGCCCAGAAGACAGAGAAAAGGAGAAAAGTTAGGCATTGTAGCCCACCCTTTGAATGCCAGCATTTGGGAGGTCAAAGCAGAAGGCACAGGAATTTGAAGTCACCTTCCAAAACTGATTCGAAGGCCAGCGTTGGTTAAATGAGGCTTTACCTTAAACATCCAAGGGGGCAGGGGAAGCAAGCAAGAGGGAGGAGGGGTTTAAAATTAAACTAACCCACCCCTTTCTATGTATAACGTACACAGAATACTCAAGTCTCAGAGTAATCACACACAAAAAAACAGAGTTTGGATATCCATACCTGCCATGATGTAAGGCAGGATGTGCACATGAGGTGACCACAGGGCTCAATCTTTACATCCTTATCATTTTCAGCGCATATTTTACATAGTTGAAATGTGGAGCCCATCTCACAGTATAATTCATATTGTTCCTGTGATAAAAAAAATTGAGAGATGTGTTGAATGACACTAAATGTTAGCAACATGAAAAACAAAAGACTGTCAAGTAATCAAATAGAAATGTCACAACAGGTGCTAAGAAGATGGCTCTGTCAGTAGAAAACTGTCTGCTGCACAAGTATGAGGACCTGAATGCAGATCCCCAGGACCACCTAGAGCCAGAAGAGGTGATACACAACTGTAACCTTAGTGCTGGGGGACAGAGACAGAGGGGTCCGGGGGCTCAATGCCCAGCCACCCAAGCAAATCAGTCAGCTCCAGGTTCAATAAGAAACTCTGTTTCAAAGAACTAGAATGAAGAGTGGCTAACAGATACCCAGTGTTGACCTCAGACAGGCCTCCAAATGCATATGCACTACAACACCCCCACACCCTTCCCCCCTCACATCCCCAATCTAAAATCTAACTGTTGCAATACCTAGACTATATATTGAGTTCTGAGAGCACATTCGAAAGCTTGGCTCCAGTGACATATAATTATAAAACAAAACTCACCTGGGTTACTTTGATATGATCTTGTGGAGTTGGTTCACATAAACCTGTCAGGTCAGGATTTTGATTTCGCCCATCAGGAAATAAATAGCTAAAAGGAGATTAATAATCCTTGGGGTTTCAACTAGGTCAATTTATGAGTGCAAACTAAAACAGACAAATGAGATCTACCACATCTTAAAAACAAGTAACAAGAGGCTGGAGAGATGGTTCTTTCATTAAGAGCACTGGCTGCTCTTCCAGAGGACCCTGGGATTTTTGTTGCGTTTTGTTTTTATTTTGAGACAGCCTCTCACCTTGTAGCTCTGGCTGTCCTTGAACTCAGAGACCCACCTTCCTCTGCCCCCACAGTGTTGGGATTAAAGGTCTGCACCACCATAGCCAAGAGGATCCAGGTTTTATTACTAGCATCCACTTGAAGGCTCACAACTGTGTGTAACTCCAGTTCAAGGATTCTGATGCCCTCTTCTGGTCTCCTCATGTAACAGGCATACAAGTGGTGCCGAGAGAGGCATGCATACAGGCTAAAACCACTCATACACATAAAAACAAGTAACAAGCCATATGTGGTGGTGGTGTACACCTTTAATCCCAGCACTTGGGAAGCAGAGGCAGGCAGGACTTTGTGAATTGGAGGCAAAGTCGGGCTGACAAAGTGAGTTTTAGGCCAGATAGCCAGTGCTACCTAGTGAGACCCTGTATCAAAAATCAAAACAAGGTCAGGTGGTGGTGGCGAACTCCTTTAATCCCAACACCCGGAGGCAGAGGCAAGTTCGAGGCCAGCCTGGTCTACAGAGCGAGTTCCAGGACAGGCTCCAAAAGCTACACAGAGAAACCCTGTCTCAAAAAATAAACAACACACACCCCACCTAAATCAAAATAAATTCCCAAGCAACTACTAACTTGGCCTGCAGACTGTATCAAAACAGGTAGCTGATAGATCATAGTTTGTCAACCCCTATCTTCAATGAATGGCCAGGAGGTATAAATATTGTTTTCTTTTGTTTTTGATGACTGAGGGAGGGCCTTGTTATGTAGCCTAGGCTGGCCTCAAACTCATGATTCTTAGTCCAGTTCCTGGAGGGCTAGAATTATGGGTGCATGCCCATCATGCCTTGCCCTACATTTGCTTTTCAACAGGCTTTATAAGACCCCCAATGAGCTACTGACATCATCTACCAGTGGCTTCTAATATCAGACTGCTCAGATGTTAGGAGAAGCACCTCTTCTTGCCTCAATGCTAATGCAGAGATGATACATAATTGAAAAACATATTTTCTTAGTAACTTTTCAACAAGGTCGCTTTTCTGATACCCACTCAACAGTATGTTCAGTGTTTACTGACTGAAAATGAATTTAAATCCCAAAGGAATGGTAATTCAGGAGTAAGAATTTAGCCATAATTTTATTAGCATACATCACAAAAGATCAAAGCCTGAAGAAAAAACTGCTGAATCAGACTAAAACTAGGTTGAAAGTCACTGAGGTCTACTGTCATTAGAACATCTCATCACCCTCACAATGACTAGTTAAATAAGCAGCAGAATGTCCTAATCCTTGCACAGCCTTTTATTCTAATTTGGCTTTAAAACTAAGTTATTTGGAAAAAAGAGATAAAAGTTTATTTGTGGCAATAATTTAAAAAAAAATCCTAAGAGCAAAGTAGCTTCAACCTCAAGGCAGGACAAGGTGGCATAATTAACACATTCATGAAATTTTAGTCTGCAGAGAAAACATGCAATAGAAGCCATTAATGAAGAGGCTCTGGTGTCTGGAGCTCCTAGATGTTAAGAGACGACAGAAAGCTGTGATACTTACAAGCCTTCCCTGAAGCCATCAATCAGTGCTTGGAAGAGCGGTTTATTGTGTGGGATTGTCTGCAGAATGTTCCCATCAGCAGTAACGTACCCAATAGCCCACTGACCCAGACGAGTACAGCTCAGCCGAAAGATGTAACTGAGAACAGAGATTACCAGAAGTTTCAATATATATGCTGGTACCAGATAGAAGGCAAGATAGAGACAAAATAAAAAAAGACCATTAAGAATAACTTCTTTAAGAGAAAAGGATGAATATGAGCAAAAACAAAGTAAATATGAAAACATAAAAAATAAAACTTTTTTTGGTATGCTAAGTTGAATTTAAAATATTTTTTTTCAAGGGACTGGAGCATAGCTTAGGGGAAGAATAAATACTTAGTATGCCTGCAGGCCAGTCTAGTTCAATCTCCAACTTAAAACAAAACAACTCCTCCAATAATTCCAGAACAGAAGCAAAATACATCTAGTCTTCATTGCCCTATTTATTGGAGAAAGAGTTTGCTATATTTGCAGACTGGTTTCAAACCATACTCCCGCTTTAGCTTTCCATGCTCCTGTGTACTAGGACTCCAAGCACCCAGCATAAACCCCATTTTAAATTGGCTTAAAAACATTTACTAAATCACAGTAGTTGGTTAAGTCAATCCCCTACCCAAATCTGGGTCATCAGGGAACCAATAAAAGATGATGTTCCTTCAACTCTAACAAAAATCATGAGTGAAACTGAGGACAAGCCTCTTTGCTTCAAGCTACTCACCTGCCAGGTTTGTGAATAAACTTCTGGAGCCGGGCTTTCACCTCATCGTAAGTCAAGAAAGCCATGTAACCAGGGTGAGTTACAGCAAGGCTGTTCCAATTTCTCAGCAAAGAGGACCAAGGCTAAAGAAATGAAAGATAAATCATAAACCATTTGGTTAAGACATACAACCAGCCTCAGAACAATGAAGAACAAAACAAACACACATACACACACAAAACAAAAAAGCCCTTCAACTCTCAACTATAAATTCTGATTTGCCATAAATTCTCTATTGCCATTCTTTGGAAAGACAACTATGTTTGGGAAAGTAGAAATTTTGAGAGCTAAGAATACAAGCTGCCTTGTATAGGGAGACAACTACACACACAAAATTACTCAGCAGCTCTTACCAGTATTAAGGTCAAACAATGACAAAACCCAGAAAAACAGAATAGGGCCTATATGTGCAATTATTAAGCTCTTAATAAATGTTTATTCAAGGTAGTGTATACACATATTGAAGCACCAATGCATTTTAGGATTAACAATCTAGAATGGAATAGGAAGTCAGGTACGGTGGCACGTACTGTAATCTTAATGCTTTGGAGGTGGAAAAGACAAGTGGATCAGGAGTTCAAGGCTAGCCTTGGTTACAAAGCAAACATGGGCTACATAAGATTTTGTTTTCAAAATAACAGAGAAAGAATCGAACAATAGAAAAACAAATTGGCAACACACATGGAAGGAATAAGAAAACAGCTTAGGACCTTCCCCAACTCTCAGACACACTTCTAATCTTGGGGATGTCTTTCCCTGTCTTTCTTAATAAACTGTCTCTATTTCTCCCACTCCCACAATTCTAAAATTAATAATAATATTTGAGTTAATTTTAATCTTTCTTTTGCTTACAAGTTTCTGAAATGAATTAAAATACTTATAGATTGTATTTATTTTATTTTATGTGTAGGAGTATTTTGCACACCACATGCATATCATATGATGCCCACAGAAGTCAGAACAGGGCATTAGATCACCTAGAACTAGGGTTATAGATAGTTGCAAGTCACCATGGGAACGAGGGTCACCTGAAAAAGCAGCAAGTGCTGTTAACTATTGAGCCATCTCTCCAACCCTGAATAAAAATACTTTTATGGTAGACAAAATCCTTAATGTTACTTTTTTTTCTAGTTCAGACACAGCTAGGTCATGCTTGCCTCTCACTCACTCTGTGGCCCAGGCTGGCTTTGAACTCAGCAATCATCCTGCTTCAACACTCTAAGTGGAAGGATTATAATTGCAAGACTATACTCAGCTGTATCTTTTTTTTTTTTAAAGCTTTCTCTTCAGAAAAATAGCACCAGGCTAGTCAAAGACTTTAGAATCTTACCTGAAACAGTCGTGTAAAGATATCAAATTCAAAAACAGATATATAATCATTGCAAGTCAGATCAATAGTGGACTTCAGAGCCATGGCCTCCAGCCCAGAACTGATGGGGTGTACTTCATGAAGGGCCTGTCGAAAGCTCTTCCAAGGAACTATTGTCCTGGGATGGATTGGGATGAGAGAAGGCACAATGAGGTAGCAGGCAACTGCAGACATCTATGACTGAGGAAAGGCAAGCAAGCTCCCAATATTAAAAGCAATTCTCTCACAGAAGTCAAGTTATATTTAGACTAAGAACAAAAAGAAGGAAATACGGGATATGTTTGTTAATTTTCTAATAAGTAACAGAGACGATTTTCTACAATTCTGTGGCCAAAAGTGTCACATATTAATCCTTTTCTTATCTTTCTACAGGCATTTGTTCTATTCTAGAAGCACAGAAGAAAGAGGAGGTTTATACCTTTAAAAAAAAACAACAACAAAAAAGCCCACAGGATTTTACCATGTAGACCCTGGTTAGCCTAGAATGTTCCATCCTCTTCCTCAGCCTCACCATGCTGAGATAAGAGGTGCAAACCACTACACCATTTTTTTTCTTTGGAGATGGCATCTCACTATGTAGGTAGGTCTGGCTGGCCTGGTGCTCACAGAGACGCACCTGTCTCTGCTGGAATTAAAGGCTTGATCCATCACACCTGGCTTTAAACTAAACTTTGAAAATCACAATCAGGTAGGGTGGTGGTGCAGGCCTGTAACTGCAGCACTTGGGAGACAGGAGGAGCTCTGTGACTGAGACAGAGTGAGTTCCAGGACAGCCAGAGCCACACAGAGACCCTGTGGAAAGGAAAGGAAAGAGGGATGGGGAAGGAGAGGGGAAGGGAAAGGGAAGGGGAAGGGAATGGGAAAGAAAGGGGAAGGGAAGGGGAAGAGGAAGGGAAGGGAAGAGAATGTGGGGGGACACAGAGACAGAGAAATCACAATCAGTCCATATTTTATGTCATATAATTTTATTTATTTTTATTTTTGTGGTGCTGGGAATTGAACCAGGACCTTATACATGTCAGACAAGCAGTATAATCTCCATAATCCAAGCTCAAACATTAGTATTTTTTATTATAGATTTTTATTTGCTTGTTTTTTGAGAAAAACAAAAACAAAAAAACTGGGCCAGGAACTTCTGTATTACTGCCTGGCCTCAAAGTCCTGCCTCTGCTTTCCCAAGTGCTGGAATTAAAGGTGTGCACCACCTTGCCTCAAGAAGTATTAGCGTTTTTTATACTTTTTTCACTTTAAGGGGTTGAAAACGGGACCTGGATCATTCTAGGCAAGTGCTGTACTGTACTGTAACTTAAGTCCTGGAACTCTTACCAGCACTCAGGAGGCAGAGGCAGACAGGTCTCTGAGTTCAAGGCTAGCCTGGTCTACCAAGAGCATTCCAGGACAGCCAGGGTTACACAAAGAAATCCTGTCTCGACAAAACACCAATAAATAAATAAGAAAGAATGCAACTCATACAAACTTTTTGAAAGCAATTAGGCAAAACTAAATAGAGGGAGAAAAAGTAAAACTCCATGACTTACCAATAATTTTTAGCTATGTAATTAAGGAGAAATCCTAGCTTATGAAAATAACTATGACACCGTTCACTTAAACACTGTTTGAAACAGCAAATAATTTGAAACGTGGGGCTGAAGAGGTGGCTCAGTGTTAACATCAGGTATCACTCTTCCACAAGACCCAGGTTCAATTATAGCACCACATCCAACAGCTCACTTGTAACTTCAGCTGCAGGAGATCTGACACCTTGTTCTGGCCTCTATACTGCACTCACATGGTGCACATGTAAATACCAGCGGAAAACTTTGTGGGATCAGTTCTCTCCCTCAGGTTCCAGAGATCAAACTCAGACTGTCAGGTTTGTGTGTCAAGCACAAACCTGTTGAGCCATCTTGCTGACGCACTGTATTTTAAAAGTTTAAATTCTTTTTTTTTTTTTCTAGACAGGGTTTCTCTGTGGCTTTGGAGGCTGTCTTAGAACTAGATCTTGTAGACCGGCTCACAGAAATCTGCCTGCCTCCACCACCCGGAGTGCTGGGACTAAAGGCACACGACACTACTGCCCAGCTTAAAAGTTTAAATTCTAAACAAATATCTCCTAACATAAGCTTTAGTTTTTCAGAGTTAGATTCATCATTTAGAGACTTACTTTTCCCCAAAAGCTTTTCTCCAAAATTCTGCAGCATCTGCTTTAGTAATCCGGAAAGTGTCTCCTTGGAAGAGTCCACTTGGAAAGATACCTTTCAGTTCTGCCAGCATGTGGCTGAAGATCAGGGATAGTTTGGTTAGGTTTCGCCTACAAATGATCATAAATTAAAACAATAATTACTGATTTGTTGTTGTTGTTGTGCTGACACAGGGTTTCTCTGTGTAGTTTTGGAGGCTGTCCTGGAACTCCCTCTATAGACCAGGCCGGCCTCAAATTCAAAGAGATATCTGCCTGTCTCCGCCTCCCAAGAGCTGGGATTAAAAGCACGCACCACCACCGCCCAGCAAATTACTGACATTTTAAGTGTACTGAATTCACCATACAAAGTAGCTTAGCATGAACATGAAAATAAGTTTATAATTTCTGGTCAATAATACTAAAAAGTATGGCAAACTATGAGAGGAAGGAATGTGTTACTGACAATAGCTACTGCCCTTTATGTAAAGCAGGGAGGACTTCAGGAATTATTTTGCTCTACCAACAAATGAAAAGTAAAAATCTAATGTATCTCATCTCTCTCCCCATTCAAATAAATGTCATATATTAAATAAGAAAAAGCCCCAAAGTCAAATATTTGAGTTTAAGCTAACAGGAACAAGTTTACTTTATGATGACAGATAAAGAATGCACCAAACAAACCCAAGAACTTCTCACAGCCAGAACCACACAATCACAAAAGAAAGGCAGTGGCAAAATGTTGAATTTACTGTTTTTCAGAAATCTTCTTTAAAATAAAAATTACATTTATGATAATATGGTAATTCATCTAAGATGATAGTATTATCAATAATAATTATTTAAATGTCCAGACCTAACAAATATTTTCATTAAATCAGACTTGGTAAAAATTGTACTAAAATTCCTAAATTTTATTAAACATTACTTCTTTTTTATCAAAAATGAAGTTAATATCCAAAGCAAATATGTACATATACTACCACTATTCTTAACAATCAACTTTATCCTAGTAATCTCTACTTAATGGGTGTGACTAAAGATGATAGGAAGTACCAATTTAACACAAGTGATGATGCCTCTAATTTGATCAGACTGTCCTCATTATTAAAAGTACCTCACAGAACAGGACCTAGATGTTTTGGATACTATTAAGTATCAAACCAACTACCAATTCGACATATTTCGCTTATCCTAATAATTTTCTATTTATGTGCTCAAAACTCTATATTCTTGCTACACAGCTGAACTGACTACAAAATCTCAAACCATGATCAATTATTGGTGTCCTATAAAAAACATCTTATGCCAGGCACTCTGGGAGGTGGAAGCAGGAGGTTTTCTGTGAGTTCGAGACTAGTCTGGTCTACAAGAGCTAGTTCCAGGACAGCCTCCAAAGCCACAGAGAAACCCTGTCTCAGAAAAAAACAAACAACAAAAAGGCATCTTTAAAAGATATTTTCATCTGTTATAATGGAGTGTCATCATCAGGTACCTTTTGTCTTTCCAAGGTAAAATGAATACAGCACAGACCAACTCTGACTTTTGCAAATTACTGCTGGGACATTTCTAATCAGTTTTTCAGCATATCAGCTTCTTTCTTGCACTGTGAAATCATCTGATTATGGCTGTTTAGGTAGTCTACTACTGACCAAAGTAGAACCTAACCCAAGATTAAGAACTCATCATACCCAGCCACACAATCTTCAACCTATAATTTGTTCTGCCTACAAGATATGCTGGAATAAAAGTAGTACAGAAATTGTGGAAGTGGCCAACCAATGACTGGTCTAGCCTGTGTCCCATGCCACAAGAGGGAGCCCACCACTGACACTACCTGGAGCACCAGGACCTAGAGGCTAGATAGCCCAGAGACCTAGGAAAGACCCAAATACAACTGGGGAAAAAAAAAAAAAAAAAAAAGGAATGATGCCTAATAATATTCTGCTATACTCATAGGTTGGTACCTGGCTCAACTGTCATCAGAGAACCTTCATCCAGCAACAAACGGAAACAGATGCAGAGACCCAAGGCCAAGCATTAGGCAGAGCTGTGGAAGCAGGGGAGGAAGGTTTATAGGAGCCAGAGCAGTCAAGGACGCCACAAGAAAACCCATAGAATCCACTAACATGGACTCTTAGGGGATCACAGAGACTAAACTGAAAACTAGGAATGTGCATGGGACTGACCTAAGCTCTCTGCATATTTGTTACAGTTGTGTAGCTTGGTCTACTTGTGGGACTCCTAACAGTGGGAGGAGCTACCTCTGACTTTTTTGTGTGTAAGTGTGTTTCAAGGAAGGGTTTCACTGTGTACACTACCTGTTCTGGAACTCACTCTGTAGAACAGACTGGCCTGGAACTCACACAGGGATCCATCTGCCTCTGCTTCCCAAGTGCTCGTATTCAGGGTGAGCACAACCACCTCCCAGATCATTCTCTAACTCTGTTGCTGGCTTTTGGAACCTATGCCTCATTCAGCCTCAATATGAGGGGAGGTGCCTGTTTTTTTTTAATGCCTATATTAGCTTTAAAAAAAAAACAATAACTTTATTTTATGTGCGCTGGTGTGAAGGTGTCAGATCCTCTGGAACTAGAGTTACAGACAGTTGTGAGCTGCCATGTGGGTACTAGGAATTGAATCCTCTGGAAGAACAGCCAATGCTCTTACCACTGAGCTAAGTCCCCCCTCCTCGAGAGAGAAGGCTTCTGTAGCTTTCTAACTGTTCACCTCATTTTTCCATCAACAGGAGCACTTACAAACAACACCATCAGAATTAATGTTTGTTCTCAAATCTGCTTTCTTCATAAGCCTATTCTGTATTTAATGATGGCATCTCTTATTTCCCACAAACTCACAATTTTTGGCTTTTTCCATTTGCCTTATTCTCATATTTGATTTGTCAAGTCTGGAGACAATGTGTTATCAATTCTCCTCTGAAATGTATTATTACTTTAATATAAATTCCCTACTACTTTAGTCCTATGCAGGTCCAATCTTACCTTTCTAAAAAAGTTTCATTTTTATTTAATTTAAACAAAAAAATTGTGAGTATGGTTTTCAAGACAGGGTTTCTCTGTGTAGCCCTGGCAGTCCTGGAACTTGCTCTGTAGACCAGGCTGGCCTCAGAGATCTGCCTGTCTCTAATTCCAGAGTGCTGGGATCAAACACATGTGCTACATAATTCCAAGCTTCATTTTTATTTTATTTTAAATAATATGTAGGCTGTTCAACAAGGTGGCCTCAAAAGCCTCTCTACATGGTGACCTTTAAACTGAACCTGAGGGAAGATAAAGGCTCTTATCATGTTGGTATCTACGGCTCGTCAAATATTTTTCCACTAAAAATCTACCAAGTATAGTGCTGTGTGGAATAAGAAACAAAAATGCATGCCAAAATAATAATGAACAGACAGCGTTTTATAAATCTATAAAGTAAGCCACACAAGAAAGGAAAGCTATTGACTGCAAGGGTGTAATGGCACCAGCTACCTAAGATGAGTTCAAAGTGCTAACTGAAATAGTTACTAAAAAATCAATTTAAGACATTTTTCAACTCAAAGGGACAGCTCCTCTCTCCCAAGCCAGCAGACATTTCTTAAAACTACCAGATGTGCACCACAACCATACAGGAAAACAATAAGTCTCTAAAAACCCATGGGTCAGAGTTTCCTAAGAGATCTGAGTTGGAACTTTGCCCAGTAACACTTCAAGGCTTTGGACATGGTTCAGTGTCTTAAGTGTTATTAGCAGAATCTGTCTTAACATGGAAACAACCAATGAAGCATGATGGCTTATTTGGATGCATGGCTAGGTAGGCAGTCCTTGTCAAAATACTGTCAGCAGTTATCAGTTCCCACGCTCTAGAGTCCTCCAACGACCAATGGAAAATACAACCACTCCATCTTTTGCAATGTGCTGAAGACGGAACCTTCGTTGCAAACTACCAATAGCTGCAAGAAGCACAGGTCTTTCTGTAACTGTATTAGAGGAAGGTCATTCTGTACTTCTTTTAGCTTTAACCACCCACATCTAAGGAACTGCAAACTGACTTTATAGCCTTCAACTTCCCCTTCCCTTCTCACAACTTCCCCATGATCAACCGCTGATTCTATGTGCAAAATCAGTTTTGTTTTTTCAGTGCTAGGGATCAAACCCCAGGGCCTTGTTTCTGGGAGGGTGGGTGGAAGCACCCTGCTGCTGAACTACATGCCCAATACATTATCAGTATTTTTTGCAGGGAAGGGTGGTGGTTGTGAGACAAGGCCTTGGCTGTACTGGTCAGGTAGTCACTATGTAGTACAAGCAGCTCCTTTGTTTTTTGTTTTGCTTTTTGAGACAGGGACTCTCTACATAATCCTGGCTGTCCTGGAACACAGAGACCCACCTGCCTCTGCCTGGGATTAAAGGCAGGATGCACCACCATGCAGGCAGGTCTTACACATAGCCTCCCAAACGCTGTGATTACAGACCTGTCATGCCAGCTTCAATCTTCTTTAAAAAGTCAAGATTAATCTATCTCACCACTAGGGAGGCAGATGTTTATGAGTTGGAGGCCAGCCTGACATAGCAATTTCCAGGCTAGCCAAGGCTACACACTAAGATAAGACCCTGTCTCAAAACAAACCAAAATTGAAAACAAATGGAACAACAACAAAAAACACTGCCATGATTATTTGATTATTTCTATTCTGCCTACGTTAGGTCTGAAGTAAATGTTATACTGTGTATAATTTCATCTAATAAGGAGCTGGCAATAAATACAAAAATACATTAAAAGATTAGATATAATTATTGTTCTTTGAAAGTAAAAATATAGGGTTGAGGAGATGGTTCAGCAGGTTAAGAGCACTTGTCTTGCAAGCATGAGGACGCAAGTTCAAATCCCCTCGTCCCATGTAAAATTGAACATTAGTACACAGCTCTAACACTAGCACTGTGGGACAGAGCAGAGACAGAAGTTTGCTGGTCATCAGTCTCGTTCCAAGCTCAGTGAGAAGTCTGTCTCAAAGGAATAGGGTAGAGACTGTGTTGGACTGGCATAGTGGTGTGTGCCTTTAATCCCAGCACTCAGGACACAGAGGCAAATGGATCTCTGTGAGTTCGAGGCTAGTCTTGTTTACAGAGCAAGTT